CCCCCCCCCCCCCCCCCCCCCCCCCCGCCCCCACAGGGAACTCCCACTAAAGAGGCATTAAGGTTTAAATTTACGACTTGTAATTGGGAAATTCCCATTTCTCGGTACAACTGGACCACAGCAACTGTAGCTGGTGAAAATGCATAGAAATGGAGATTTTAAACTTCAAATTTCAGTGGCTACTTTTGAGTCTTTTGCAACGCCACCTGGTGGTGGGAGGCTGTCACCTCACAGGTGAAATAATCAACATGCATTATGGGAGATGTAGTTTATGGTCAAGGCTGACTTTAAAGCAGCTTATTTTAAGACATTTCGTTGAAGTGCTTGCAGACCATTAAAAAATGCTGCGGCGAGCCACATTTGGCCTGCGGGCCTTGTTTTTGACACGTTCATAGGATCTTAAGCCTTATTCGCATGGGATAAGAATTATCTGGGGACCCCATGTAATAAATAAATTACTTACGACGTCTGTTTTTTATGTGGCGCGTTCGCACGGGATAACCCAAGCCTGAGATTTTTCTGAAATTTACAGAACATCTCGTGAATGTGGTATTGAAGTCTGGTCAGCTCACGCCTTGAACAGCAGTTTGTTTGTTCATCAAGCGTTTCCTCTCCTATTTACAACATTTCACAAGTTATAAGGTGTTCTGCTGCATGTCCTTTTGGAAAATACTACAACAACGTAAGCACCAAATACAAACACCCATACATATCAAGCTGTACGGATTGTCCATAATTTACAGGGATTTTCCATCATTCTGCTGGCATACGGACTTATAGAGCAACCTCATGGATTTTTTCAAGTCTTACGGATTTTTTAAAGCCTCACTTTCAAATTAATGTAACAGCAGAGCCTGTAGGACGTTAAAAAAAACAAGAAACATCAAATCTTCCAACCTGTTCTGCTAGAAATAAGATTAGAAATAAGTTACGGCACGTAACGAGTCGGGTTTTTCCGGCCCGGGACACAAAAAGGTTTTCAGTGCACTCCAATCCAGCCTCCATTCTTCACCAAAAGCAAATAAAAATGCACCCAGCAAACCAAAACTGCCTAATTACTTATGGGATTCAGCTCATTCCTGTCCAAATCACAGAGATTCCTGTTCACACTGGATTAGTCTCACAGGACCTCGGAGTTCAGCGGTAATTTGTGGGGAATTCTTACTTTACAAATTACTGACATGGTCGATGCACACGGGATTAACAACACAGACAATCTCTGTAATTATTACAGAAAGCATGGGGTCCCTATAAAAACTAATCTAATCAGAATAAGGCTTAGACAGCAGGATGACCCCCCTGTGGAAGTCCACCCAGGTAGGACTCCTCTCTGGGTTTATAGACCCTCACTGTGCAGGTGAATCAGAAGAGCAATGATTCGTCTCTTCAATGGTTTATCTGTTTCATTTCCACCATGAGGACTGAAGTCTGTCTGCACGGAGCTGCAGAACCACAGATCAGGGCTTAAAGGCTGCAGGCTCTAATCCGAGGGGCTGCTAATTAGTTATTACTGAAGCTGGTTATTCTAATAAACTCATCCTTTGCATGAGAGGGAGCTTCCTTTCTTTGTGAGACACTTTCTCTGTTTTTTAACATGTAAAGTTTCTTAAATTTGAGCAGTTTGAAAAGAAAAAAGATTTGAATGAGTGCTGGTTTTCTTGTCCTTTTCTCTCCACAGTGTAAAGACTTCTTCAGAGCCGGCCGGGGCATTTATGAGGACCTGTGCCGCAGACTGCCTTTCTACACTTCTGACTTCACAGATGGTAGGCTGGACCTGGTCTGGACCTGGTGTGGACCTGGTCTGGACCTGGTCTGGACCTGGTCTGGACCTGGTCTGGACCTGGGCTGGACCTAACACTAACCCTACTATATGTACCAGGTGTACCACAGTATATGTACCAGGTGTACTATATGTACCAGGTGTACCACAGTATATGTACCAGGTGTACTATATGTACCAGGTGTACCACAGTATATGTACCAGGTGTACCATATGTACCAGGTGTACTACAGTATATGTACCAGGTGTACTATATGTACCAGGTGTACTACAGTATATGTACC